CGAATGATGAGCTGGAAGAGATGGTTATGATATATTCCAGAAGGCTGACTGAAGACTCTCAGTGGGTTACAGTTGATGCTGAAAACTTAGATGCTACACTCCGTTCTAGAAAAGTATTAGCTGACGAGTCTGTGCTTCGTAGTAATTTTGATACTCTTAAGATTGGCGATTCTGTGTTAAGGTATAACTATAACCGTAACAAGCTGGATCCCTACTGGAATGCTACTGTCTATAAAGTCATTTCGATTCGTGGTCAAGTGGCTGCTATCTCCAGTGATCCTTTACGCTCCCAGCCTTTCTTTGAGTATATTGGCAATTTGAAGCGCATTGATGTGTAGTCTGTGGCCCCGGAGTGTTGTCTGTGCCTATTGATCTCTTGAGATCTTGAAATCTTGCTGTTCTTAGTAGTAGAATAGCTATTTTGTTCGTTAGCTGTGGCACAAAGTTATTTCCTTATTTCGGTGTACTTGATACGAGACCTATCCTATCTTGCACCTACCCTATCTTGGCTATACTTGTGTTATCTCAATACCCCTGGTTGGAATTGATCAACAGAAGAGCACTATCGCACACGCGGCGTGTGACACGCCATGGTGATCGATTGGACGATACTTAAGACAAGGCCACTTCAACAGATGGCAAGATGGAGTTGGAGGAAAGTGGAGCTCAAACTGAGGCCTTGAATGTGACCGGTGTTCCTGGTGAGCGATTTGACCACCGAGGTAGGTTCGCGCCGGACGAGAGATACCAGTACCTGCCCTTGAACTAAGGGGAGTGCCATCTAAAGAGCAGGGAAGCAACGAGAGACGTCGACTTCATAAATAGTACATTACTGTGCCGAAAACAATGAGTATTGTTCGGTTGTTAAGTGGAAGACGAAGACGATGGTCTTAGTAGCTTATTCTATTGGGTCGAGTCGTCAATAAGGGATATTCGACAATAGGGGCTCGTGATGGCTGGAGAGTAATGGACGTAGTGTATTGTCGGCAGCCCGCGTAATTGATGGCGAGTGGTTCATCCCAGTGTGTCCAGGATAGAGTAGAAGAGGAGGGTAGTAGAAGTCTTCTACTACCCTCTTCTACTAGAAGAGTAGAGGGCAGCGGAGTGGATAGGATGCTGAATATTGAGATAGTCCTGCATAGGTCAGGGAGGGATGATGGAGCTTGGAAGTAACTCAGGGGCAGCGTTTGGGAGCTTCAGATGGATGGGCGTCGACGGATTTTCTTTCGGAGCCTTATGGTGGGGACGAGAACGAGTTTTTAAAGATGCTCAACTGTGGCCAAGGAGGTTGTCGTTCAGGCTGGCCCCAAGTGCAACTCTATCCCTCCTTAAAGATGTTCCACATGCCCCAAGGCGACGGCCGAGGCCTTTGGAAGTCGTCTGTCATGATGATGAGATGGAGAGAGGCATGGTGATGGGTGGGTATGTAGATGGTGTTGGTGATGCAGTCGTAGTCGTGTCACCAGCATCGACTCTCCCCGCGACTGGTGTAGACTATTCGGTCGAGTCAAGTCA